AAAAGGCCCAAACAACAATATAGTCTTTATCTTCTTTGCAGGCTCAGGCTCGGGTGCAGGAATCCTCCCAGAAACTGGGTCTTCTGCAGCTTTCCCTGGAGAAATGCCTGAAGGAAAAGAACCAGGAGCCTCTACAGCAGCCTGCAGGAGGGGGACCTCCTTCTACCCAAAACCCCACAACTGGGTGTCCCCTTTCCACCTCGCCATCCGTCTTCTCCATCAGACCTGCCTCCTTAACCGGTACCAGCACAAACTATGCTTTTTCTGAGCAGTACCTACATTTAAAAGTGTGCTTTTAGAGACAGCTTTGTTTGCAAATTAATTTACTAGATCATACCTCAGATATAGGTATAGTCATGGGTCAAATGTTTCAATTTGACCCCAAAAATCTGTAAGAATATACATAACACAGTTTTTAGTGAAGGTTGCACAGTGCATTAAGTATGAAGTGGCCTGTCAGCATTATCTAAAGCTAAAATGGACAGTGCATGAGACGGGGGAAGGAGAGTGTGTCGGCAGGGTGGAGTGAGTGAAGACGTGTGTCAGGTGGGTTTGTGGCAGGATAGAAGCGAGCGTGAGAGGGAAGGTTTATAAGACGGTAGTGAGGCCTGCTCTGGTATGGTTTAGAGATGGTGGCACTGACAAAAAGAAACGAAGCAGAGCTGGAGGTGGCAGAGGTGAAGATATCGAGGTTTTTTATTGGGAATGGCCAGGATAGGATTAGAAATAATGACATCAGAGAGACTGCTGAGGATGAGCGGTTTGGAGACAAAGTTAGAGGCGGGACTGAGAGGATAAACTGGGCAATGGATGTTGAATGTGGAGCTTCCAGGCACCTGATGTAATAAAGGATGACATGTAGAGGTTTGACAGAGGGGATGCCAGCGAGAGGCTGAGATGGAGACAGATGATCTGCCATGGCGACCCCTAAAAGGAGCAGCTGAAAGGAGGAGGAGCCTGTCAGTATTAATGATGGTTTAAATACCTGAAATCTCTCTCCATGACTACTTTAAGATAGACTATCATACATATGACATCACCAGCAGCCTAAACCATCAATACAATTCTTGTTTATGTCAGATTCTGATCCCACCATCTACTGATACAGCAGACCAGGAAACGTTGTCCAAGTTTGGTCATACTGCTCTTATCGAATTTATCATAATCAGGTTGTTTTTAATCTTTATTATAGTCTGTTGGCCATGGTTCACTACTAAACATAATGTGGTGATCAGAAGTTTAAAATTACAATAAAATAATGTTAAAAACAAAATGCATGCATAAATGAACCCACTCAGTCATTTGGAGATTATGAGACAGACCTGATTGTCACGTTTTAAGGGATTATTCAGCTTCTCATTTTATTTTCTTTAGCTCCATAATAACCTCCTGCTCCTGGAAGAAACTAACAAACAAGCTTACAGAGGAACCTGAATTTCATAAAGGAACGGCTCTTTAAACACAAATCATTCACTTATTACAGAATCATATGTTTAATTATAGACACATTTTATGTGTTAGTACATTCAGAAGACTGGAAGATAACTGGATTTAACTAATTGCAAGTCTACTAATTAAACACTATTTTTAAGTAGTTATTCCCAGGAAATCTGTGTGAAATCAAATCAAGCACCTACATATCAAAGAAAGCTTTGTTTTTTTTCTCTCTAACACACAGGTCTTTCTAGCGGCACCATTCCTGCCCAGTGTTGGAACATGGCTAACCATACGCTGACCACTGGCAGTGGATAATCAGACATGTAATCTGCTGGTTTTGGACAGTTCACTTGTAAGCCCATCTCTCCCTGCTGGAGACTAAAAAGGCAAAAAAAAAAGCCTCATGATGATGATGTAACGAGGAGACAAATCCTGGAGTTGCTCTGTATGCGGCGAGCATTCAGATCGGGTCTCACTCGGGGTGATTTTGTGCTTCACAGCTGTTAGCAGTACGGAGAAAGGGAGAAAATGAGGATGTGAATGCTCAGCGAGCAACTCCAGACAGCGCTGATTAGAAGCATGAGAGATTTATTCATGCAGAAAAAGAAAAGGTTTTATTTTAAAAGGCTCCATTCATTTTGGTCTTAAATGCAATTCATTACTAAGGACTTGGGAAGGGGAGGCATTGTTACATAATGTAGTGATTAAGTATTTTGTGAGAATAGAATCGTTTACTGATCATTTCAGGATGTTTTTAGAATCTTAAAGTTTGTTTTGTTTTTTTAAAAATGTCTTTAGGCAAACTTGAAGTCCGGCTTCTTGGATGTGAGGATTTACTGAAACCTCTGGGAGATTCAGAGCAAGAAGACCATCCGAACCCTGCAGAGACACCAGCTGCTCACAAGGCAGACGGACCTCCAGGTAAGCAGACATTTTGCATTTTTAAAA